CATGGTGGTGCCAGTGAGTGATATGTAAATGGTGTAGTTTGTTTGATAGGTGGAGTTTGTATGGAAATTATGCACGAAACAGCTAATATTTATACCTTGATTTCTTTTTCCGACTGCATAATACTCGTCAGTTTTTCTTTTCATTTTTGGTCTGGTTTAAAGTTAGTAGTGTCATACAATTTTAGTTTGACTATCTCACGTGATTTGTTAAAATGATATTTATGGTGTAGCCTCATTTTATCCGTTCTCCATCTTTAACTTTCTACCATGTTATATACAGACTGTGACAATAGGTGATCTAAAACCAGAGCCTGTACTTTGGCATGAGGACTCTAGGAGGAGGCCGATGGAAAATGGAAGGTTTGTTGATTTGATCAAAGACTTGGTTCCTGCACAGTGCTTCTAGATTATTTGAAAGGATCAATCAGTCAAGGAATTTTCTTTGCAGGCATAATCATAATAGTAATGGAGCCATTTCTGGCCGGCATCTTGGGGAATCTGCACATCGACTTGTTGCTAATAGTTTGCAGGTAAGGGCAGATAGGAATGGTCATTACGATCAAATGTATGCCATGCATCAGCCTCATACCAGTGCTTATGACCGGCACTATCAGCCGTACCATCAAAATCCATACTCTCGTGAGGAACGGGTAAAGATGCAAGGTACTTCTGGCTATTCTCCCTTGAATGCTGGAGATCATCAAAGGTCGTCAATCTCCACTTCTTATAGACAATCGTATGCTTCTCCCCATAATAATGCTCAGAATAGACATAATTATCCTTGTAATGAGTGGAGTGGAAGGTCTGTCCGCCCTCAAGGTCGGGATTATCATCCCCGACATGGATACTACCATCAGGGTATGCAACAAAATAGTGGACATGGTTACACTTCACATCCTCCTTTGGATATGGGTCGAGCTCCGTTTCCTGCCGCCCCCCCCCCCCCCGGGCCAACTTCCGATGAAAAATATTGCAGACGAGCTTTCATTGAAAAAGTATTTGATTCTTCTGCAGAGTTGTGTTAAATTTTATTTAATCTTGTACCAGTTTATAAAATTACAATGATTTTGCTGTGAGTTTGCCTTCAGTTATGGTGCTTTGCTCCCAGTCTCAATGATTTTTCACCCTTTTTATTTTTTATTTTTTTGCCTGGAAGACAGTTTGGGATTTAGATCATGTTTGGATTTTTGTCAAATATGATTTTCAAAGGTACTTTCTAGTTTTCTAATTAAATCTAAACTTTCCAGCTTATGAGCATATTTGCTTGTTGCTCAATGGATTTTCAACTTCCTATATGGTCGAATTGTTGTTTATATTGGTCCAGCTAATAGGATCCTTGCATTATTGAAAAAATTGCTTCACAGTTTTGGTTGTGCACTGTAAATACGTTATAATAGTTTGAATTTTTGGTCTTCGGGGGACTCGTTGCTGTGATCATTTTTTTTCCCCACTTTCTATGCTATGGGGAAGTATTATTGAAAGACTACCTTGTCTGAAAATCTGAGACTATTAGAGACCATAAAATTTGATTTGTCTTGAGGTTGTTATTTGCTCGAGCCCCTATTTTTCGAGATAATAGATTTTGTAATAGTGATTTATTTTTTATTTTTTATTTTTTTGTGGTTAAAATCAAGTCTATCGGGAACGGATGTGGTGGTAACCCCGTAGCTTTGTCTAGATCGCTTGAGGCCAGGAAAGCTTCTGTTCTTATGAAACTAGAGGCAACAAAAAAGAGGTCTAACCATAGAAGTGTCAATTCGAGGTAGTTTCAAATATTCTTCAATTAAAGTAGGAAAAAGGTTTGAGATTATGTACGAAATTATTTTATTGAGAGAATGTGAGTGAAAATGAGTTCTAAAGAAATGAGTTTTGCAAGAGCAGGATCAAACGAGGGTTAGTTTTCTTTCATCTATCTTTTCGGTTTCAAATTAATTATTGTACCTCTTGTTTCAATATAAGCATCGTCTTCTACACTTGCAGAAACATTGATGGGTTGATATAAATTATGATTTTCATGATTTTTAATATCCGATTGACCAATATCGAGTCTTTTAATATTTTTGCTTCTATCAAAATTACTATATAAGTATAGCTAAAGATCAAGAGTTAAGTATCTCGCATGGGGAGATTGCGAGTGAGAGGTGGTGCTTATGCATGGGTTGGGATAAAATTCTTTTTTGCTCAAGATCCAATGAATGTGCATACTTTCAAAGTTTTCAACAAGACGATATAATGTTTTGTAGGGAAAATTGTAGTGTGTTTTAGCCCTCATTTGGCTTCTATTAATTTTCATTAAATTTTTCTCTTTCCTATTTTTAACCACACAATCTTTCATAAAATAATATTAAACGTAAATCGAAAATTTTTACCTATTTTTCAGCCATTCTATTTTGAAAGAAATATTATTTTACCCATTTTCATTTTCACAAAATGGAGGCTTGATCTTTTCAAAAAATACAAATGAATCTACAACCTTGTACAATCCCTTACCTTTGTGTGAATTCATTCTACAGTTTCACACTCGAGATGCATTTAAAAAAAATTAGAAACTATTTAACTAATATGTTTGGGAAAAAAATGGGAAAGGCATTTTAAAAATGAAAATATTTAGAAGAAATATTCATCTTCCCAGACCTTCCCAAACACAGTGTTTGCCCCCCATCCTATAACCCATGTTGATGACTACTATGTAGGTTATCGGCTGTGGTGGGTTGATGATGACAGTAAGAAGTGAGATTGAGTTGGGTGGTGTTGGTTCTTGGGAAAAATTCATAACTATAAATATTTCAGAATACAATTTCAAAAATAACTAACTTGTAAAAAAAAATTTAAAAATCAGGTGGTCAAAAAAATTAGGTGATCACATTTAGTTAAACAGGTCATGGTCAAAACAAAACATAATTTATGATCACGATCACATACTAGACACAAATAACACCTTAAGCCAATCAATCGAATATTAATTAATACATAATTAATCGAACACTACTTGCACACAGTTCTTCTACTTATCTCTATGGAGAAATACGATCGGTAGGGATTAATTCAAACACTTCCGATAAAATAAGAACAGCCTCAAAGTCATAATCAATGAGATACGATCTATGGGTCACAGTCTCATATTTAGTCGCAAGTCACACGTTTTATAAGTCATAAATCAATCATTAATCAAAAAATACCCAATGATGGGCCACGGACAACTATTCACCCACACAGTCCAACCACACGTCACCCCTTCTCTCTCATTCTTCCCCTGTTTTACGGCACCACTAATTTTCTTCTCACCATACCCTGCCCCACTACCACCCTCGCCGGCAACCACAGAAAAGCCAGATGTACAACCATTGCTGGCAACCATAGAAAGACAGATCTACACTCACATCACAACACCCACCTCATTGCGACAACGACAACGTTAATTTTTATTTGTATGTGTATGGATGTAAATAAGTAGTAAAGTGAAAAAGAGTCTAATTTTGATTCCCCGAGGAATTAGCATTTAGTCGAGTTCTTAATTAAATCTAACTCTAATCAAATATAAAATTACAATAGATTGATGAGGTAGTGATAATCAACAACCTAAACTAATTAACTAGCCTAACTATGTGGTAGAAAGACTTAATGATTAATTGATTGGTATTGATAGCACTAAGATCTCGTGTCCTCCTCTATTCATCCACTTTAATATTAATTTCACAATTTGACAACAATTATATGATATGAAGATCAACGTTCACTCATGTTCAATAGTCCCTCCCAAGATCAATCAAACCTATTTCTAAGCACGACCCGATAAATATTCCTACCCTGAAATAATACGAAGCAATAAAAATAAATAGATAAAAATACAAGGATGTCGATTGAATCATACAAGAGTTAGAATATCTATTTAACCTTACAATTAATGTTATCACATGCTATCATACATTAATTCAATTAATGGCCAATTAATTAAATGTATTAAGAACATAACAAACATTCAAAATCAAACAATTGCCTTAATGTCAAAATTATATACTTAATACCAAAATATCAAAATATGGAGTTCAACGTTATCCTACCATCTAAACAACTAGCCAAATATCATAATATTACAAGAACCTAATATGAATAAACACAACGTCACCTGAAACTTAGGATTTGTGAAAAAAGATTAAAAGACTCTTGAATCTAGACTTTCTTCAATGGTTCTTGAATCTTTCTTTGACGTCTTCTTTTTCTTCAATAATTCCAAGCAAAGATTTAGAAATATGTAGGAAAGCTTCTTCAAAATTTTATACGAAATAGTGATTTGATCTCCAATTGGCTCTCTTAATTGTGTAGAATTTGTGTACTGAAGCCTCTAAACTTCCTCTCTAGCTTCCTCCAAATGGCGGCACAGTCACAAAATCTCCTGCAACCACACACATAAGGAACCTACATCGGCGTTGTTGTTCCCAATGTCAACACCAAGGAAGGAGTAAATATGTGCAACTTCAGGATTAGCGTTCGGTTGTTTTGGGATTGGAGAAGTAATTTTGTGACGGATTAAGGGGTAAAAATGGAGAACTAGAGAGTTGAGAAAAGATAGGTGGTGGCGCTTGAGGATGTTTATAGCTTCGGCGGAGAGGACAACCATTGGAAATGTGAGAGGCGGAGGGGAATATTAGAATCGACAAATTGTGCAGCTTCAGCCCTTGTTTGAGCCACATTATTTTCTTTAGAATGCATTTTTGAATAGTGCATTGATGAAAAATGTGTAGTTAAAAAATAAAGAAAAATTTTTGATTTGCGAATAATATTATTTTATTGAAGAATGTCTGGTTGAATATATGTCAAATCATTGTCTAAAAAAATATTTTTTTGAAAAAATGTGGCTCAAATATGACCTTAATGAGCTATATATCAATAGGTAACTCATAGCACCTAGTTTATGAAATTGAATCTTGAAATGTAGGATTTGATGTAATTTTCCCTGTTTTATATTATAATATCCTAAAAGATCAGAAAATAAATCGATCTGTTTAAAAATGGTGAATTTACCATAGGATCAATAAATTTGAAAGAAACCTGCCTTTCTCTCCTTCAGGCTTCAACAAATGTATTGTACATCCATAGTGATTTTCTTGGTTAATGATAGTGAAAACCGGATGATAAATTGTTCGGCATCCGAGTAGAGAAGGAAAATGAAAAAGTCGTTTACAATGTGAATTTCGACTAAATCTTACTGATCAATATCAAGTAAATGCCATTATCCGCGGCAATGTATAGTGAGCTCTCAGTCGTCATCCTTGAATTCTCTGTTCGACACAAATATATACTCTCATCACAAAGACACAAAATAGGTATAATTTCCTAGCTACGTACAAAATTCAAAAAACATGTACAAATTACCAATGTTTAGTCCAAAAAATAAAAATTAAGAACGAGGGTTGCAATACATTGAGAGCAAGTCTAAAACATAGGCAAATCTTTCGATATGAATCCTAACCAAGACGGTATCATGCAGTCCACTCTGATATACAGGAATAAGGTTTAGCATTTTGACACAAAGGAATGGCAATTACTTGATGTTGCAAGTGTTTCAAGAGTTATATGAGCACAAGTGAAAGCTATAGATATAATGTATGATTTCTTTATAAAGGTTGAAGATATTTATTGAACTAAGCATGTACCTGCGATCAAGGTAGCGTGGTTGAATGCCACTGCCTTGGCAGGTCGTGCACGTCAAAGAACCAACACCGTCACAGTTTATGCAACGTGAGACTTCTTTCTCACCTCCACCAAGCTCGACTACCACACTGCCATTCCCCATGCAAAATCTGCATTGCTCTGCAGAAAATCCCTGTTTAAGTTCAGAGTAAATTTTAACAGCACATGCATATAAGTAGCACACAACTATTATTCAAGAGCACTGCGTATATATTGTACACAGGGATGGTTTCAAATGTCATGCTGACCCAATAGATATAGCAATGAGCCAAAAAGAGTGGGGGGGAAAAAAATGATGTAACTGAACCAATTTAATTGTGAAAGGCTTAGAGCATGTTCTGCTAACCTTAAAATCTTTACTTGTAAGTAAATAAGTACTTCTATTATTTTATTTTATTTTTCATTTTTTGATCGACATTAAAAATAAGTTGCTTTTAGTTTGAAATCAACCTATGAGTTAGCTTCAGAGTAACTTTTTATTCCTATTTTTTTACTTAAAAAGTAACAAAGAGTAACATAAACAGGTTTGGAAACAAAATTAAAGCAACTTTTTTACTTCTTTTTGTAGGTTGAATTGGAGAAAAAAATAGTTTATTTTCCACACCTTAATGTACAATACAATCTCCTATTTATGGTAGAAGGAGTGACATAATAAAAGGAAAAATATAAACCTAGAAAATTTCCTATAATCACACAATATATCCTCTATATGGAAAGTGGAATCCCCAATTATTCTTTCCAATCATTGTTCCCGTAATCTTGGGATTTTAACACTCTCCCTCAAGTTGAATCGTAAATGTTGATAATATCCAACTTGGAGATAAAATCATTGAAGTTTGGTCTAAGCAACCCTTTAATAAAGACATCTACACTTTGTGCTAGTGTGGGCACATATGTCAAGTAAATAGTTACTTCCTCAACCTTTTTTTTGATAAAGTGTATGTCCACATTCACATGTTTAGTCCTGTAATATTGAACTGGATTAAGTGAAATGTTTATCGCTGTTTTATTGTCACAATAGAGTTTGATTGACAACTTTTTGTTACAAATAATTCTTTCAGAAGCTTCCTTAACCACAATTCTTCACATATTCATTGTGCAATAACTTTGAACTCAATTTCAATACTACTTTGAGCTACTATATTTTATTTTTTACTTCTCTATGTTACCAGATTTCTCCATACAAAGGTACTGTAACCAATAGTTGACCTCCTATCATCAATCGATCCTACCCAATCTACATCTGTATAGATTTCAACTCCTCTTTTTTTCGTTCTTTTTGAAGAATAACCCTCTTCCGTAGGTCTCCTTGAGATATCTGAGTATTTTATAAATAGCTTTTAGGTGACTTTCCTTAGGTGAATGCATGTGTTGGCTTACTAGACTTATAGCGAATGCGATGCCAAGTTTGGCGTGTGATAGGTAGATTAGTTTTCAAACTAATCTTTGATATTTGTCTGGTTCTACTAGATTTCCTCTATCTTCAGCTCTTTTTTCTGCATCCACAGGTGTATCACTTGGTTTACATTCCAGCATGCCAGTTTCTGTTAGGAGATCAAGAATGTATTTTCATTGTGATACACTGATGCCCTATTTCGATCTAGCAACTTCCATCCCAGGAAATATCACATAAGTCCTAAATCCTTTACTTCAAATTCAGTAGCAAGGCTTTCCTCGAGTTTTTCCATTTCCACTGTATTGTCACCTATTAGAACAATATCATCAACATATACAATTAGAATTGTTTTAGTGCTGTCCTTAAATTGCCAAAGGAACATAGTGTGATATGATTGTCCCTGATGATACCCTTGACTTTTCAGTACTTTTGCAAATCTGTCGAACCATGCTTTTGGTGATTGCTTGAGTCCATATAAAGATTTCTTTAGCTTACTTACTCGACCTTTTCCATTTTTCTGGCAAAGACCTGGTGGTAATGTTATGAAGACTTCTTCTTCTAATTCTCTATTTAGAAATGCATTTTTGATGTCCAGTTGCTGAAGTGACCAGTCCAAATTTGCTGCTAGCAATAGAAGAACTCGGATTGTATTCAACTTTGCTATTGGCGCAAATGTTTCTGTATATTCTATCCCGTAAGTCTGTGTGTATCCTTTTGCAACTAGTCAAGCTTTATACCATTCTATTGTCTAATCAGCTTTGTATTTCAGATTGAAGACCCTTTGCATCCAACCGGTTTCTTTCCTTGTGACAGGTCTCTTATTTCCTAAGTGTCATTCTTTTTCAATGCCTACATTTCTTCTAATGCTGCTTCTCTCCATTTGGGGATTTCTAAGGCTTCTTGAATAGTTCTTGGAATTACTGTACTGTCAAGATGAGATGTAAAAGCACGAAATTCTACCGACAGAGCATTATAGGACATAAGTTTTGAAATAGGGTGAAGAGTACATGACCGTATTTGTTTTCTGAGAGCAATGGGCAAGTCAGTATCGAATATCTTTGATACTTTCTGGGGTCTGAAGCTACCATCGATTCTGACTCTCTTGGCGCATTAGATGTGAAATTCTCCATGTTCTTTGTTTTTGGCTTTCTTGCATAAACTAGTATCTCTTTATCATGTTTTTCTACATCTCCCCTTGGATTCAAGTTTTCTTCGACTAATGGCATATCAGAATCAGGTTTAGATGGTAGCTTAGGTATAAAAGAGAGACTGACGTCAAAGAACCGATCTTCATGTAAGATCTCTCCTTGAAGAGATGATTTCTCAAAGTATAGAGTATATTCGAAGAAGGTGACATCAAGACTTACAAAGGTCCTTTTTGTGATCGGATCATGACATTTGTAGTCCTTTTGTGCAGAAGAATATCCTATTAGTACACATTTAATTGCTCGGAGATCGAGTTTATTCTTGTGATTAGAGTGAACATGGACGAATGCAGTGCATCCAAACACTCATAGGGATATATTGGAGCTGAGACAGGAAGTGGGGAAGTATTTCTGAAAATTTTGGAGAGGTGTTACGAAGTTTGGAGTGCGAGTAGGCATCCGATTGATTAGATAAGTGGATGTAAGAATAGTATCCCTCCAGAACATTTAAGGCATGTTTGTGGTAAGCATTATGGCACGAGCAACTTCAATGATGTCTATTTTTGCGTTCAGCAATCCCATTTTGTTGGAGAGTATCAACACGTGAGCTTTGATGAATTATTTCATGTTTTCTTGGGAAGTCTCCCATGATGTTATTGAAGTATTCAGTACCGTTGTCGGTGTGTAAGATTTGAAATTGTGTATGAATCATGGAATGAAAAGTGATAAACACATAACGAACATCAAATTTATCTTTGAGTAGGTAAACACAACAAAGTCGAGTATGATCATCAATAAATGTAACAAACCATTTTTCGTGAGTACGATTTGGGATCCGTGAGGGTCCCCAAACATCACTGTGAATCATGGTGAATGGTTTCGAAGTTTGTATTCGGATTTTGGAAATGATGTACATTGATGTTTTGCAACTTCACATATTTCACATTGAAGATTAACTTGTTTATTATTTAAGAAAACAGAAGGGAAAATACGTTTCAAGTATTGAAAGTTGGGATGACCCATTCTAAAATGTCACAATATAATTTCACTATTTCTAGGGACAGACGCAGAAACACAAAATATAATTTGACACTGTTTACTTACATCAGCCTCTTCAAAGAAATAGAGTCCTTAACTTTATTTAGCACTGTCAATCGTCTTCCCTGATGATAGATCCTAAAAAACACGGTGAGAAGGGAAAAATTTTAGCAGAGCAATTGGAAATTTTTGTTAATTGGCTTATAGACAGTAAATTGCATGATAAATTTGGAACGTGAAGGACGGACTCTAAAGTTATAAAATTAGATATTCGAATACTCCCTTTTCTTACCACAGTAGATAAGGAACCGTCTGCAATTTTAACTTTAAGATTACCAACACAGGTTGAATATGACGAGAATAGATGATAGGAATCGGTTATGTGGTCAGATGCCCCAAAGTTAATAATCCATGATGTTTGACATTAGGTTGTGGATTATAAAGCTCTCATAAAATTACCTCCGTGAGCTAGTAAGCTGGAAGGATTATATGTGGAGTTGTGACTTGATGATTGAAGGCTGGAAAACATTTTGTAAAATTGCTCCATCTGCTCGGCATTAAAGGCATTATTTGACTCCTTTGATTTTTCTGTTCGATAATTAATAGACACTTGATATTCTCGATTTTTATTATTTTGCCTCGGTTTCCAATTGGCTGGCTTTCTATGAATGTCCCAACATGTATCTTCCTTGTGTTTTGGCTTACGACAATGTTCGCACCAGGGCCGACCCTTTTTGCTGTTTTGAACTTGACCCAATTGTTGACCTTTTAGAATATAATCCCAAAGTTCCTGGCCCATAACTAGAAGAATTAGGCCCTTAGTTGGAAGCTGACCCAATAGATGCTGCGTCATGTAGAGGCCCATTCTTAAAATTAGTTGGACCTAAAACCATTCATCATCACTCTCCGGCGACTTCCCTCATGCCTCAACTTTTCGAAAACTTCATGCGGCGATGGTAGAGGTTTCCAGCCAAGTATTCTGTTTCTCACGTCGTCTAAATCCCAATGGAGCTCAGCCAAGAACTCGAAAACCCATTCGTTCTCTAGCTTTTTTCGGTAATACATGCTATCGTCTGCGCACTTCCACTTCTCCATAGAACTCAGGTCGACTACCAAAATGCCATCATCTCTAGGCAATAATCGATCAGCTCAATAATCGATCAGCTCACGTTTGCCCTGCTTCATTTGCCACGATCGAGATTTGATTTCGAAATTTGGGCTAAATTTTCAGAATCGGAGTACATCTCCTTCACAACCTCCCAAACGTCCCTTGCCGTTGGTAAGAATAGGTAAGTTTTTCTAATTGAGGGCTTCATGGAATTGACAAGCCAAGCTGTCACCGTTGAGTTCTCCGATCGCCATCTTTGAAGAAGAGCAGTGTTGGTCGGCATCTTTGTTTCTCCATTTAGGTACCCAAGCTTACCTTTTCCATCAATTATGAGTTTGATAGATTGTGACCATTCTCTATAATTCTTTCCATCTAATTTTTCTACCGTGAGTTGGAACGACGAGTTTTCAGTTCCTCCTGAGCTTACAGCAAAGATGGCCTCTGTTTCATTGTTGAAAGATTCAGAGGTCATTAAACCTTTGTTGTGGTCGGCAATTTCTGTCATTCTGCCATCTCTGATACCATGTAGGTTAAATTGGAGAAAAATAGTTTATTTTCCACACCTTAATGTACAATACAATCTCCTATTTGTAGGACAAGAAGTGGCATAATAAAAGGAAATATATAAACCTAGAAAATCTCCTATAATCACACGATATATTTTCTATATGGAAAGTGGAATCCCCAATTATTCTTTCCAATCATTGTTCCCGTAATCTTGGGATTTTAACAGTCCATTATTGTCCCTATGTATCTTTATATAAATCAGTAAAAGTATTATTTTCAGCCTTCCTTTCTCTTCCTATATCCTGGTTTATAAACCTATTGTTTTCTTGAACAAGATGAGAAGATTCAAATAATTGAGGAACAATAAATTATCTCCTACTTTAGTAGTTACCCAAAGGAGGCCATCGATGCCTGATTTAAATGTTATTTACACAAAAAATTTGTCCAAACTAGTTTCAACACAGAAATTCAATGCTAGAAATGAAGTCAATAAACAAGTAGAAGTGCATGAACAAGCAAGTTTGAAAAAGATATTGTTCCAATCAGAAGATATTGCTTAAAACAATATAAAAAAAGAACTTTCTTTCACACAACTGCACTAATGATGTAGAAAATGAAACCAAGTACTAAATGACCCACATTTGCCGAATCATAAAAATGTAAAAGTTTTTTTCCAAATGTGTTTGGATGTGTTACTTTGTCCTTACTTTAAAGAGATATAAAGTTAGTTATTATGAAGATAATATTCATGTTACGATCAAAATAAGTAACTTACTAACACAGCATGCTTGAGAGAGTGATTATAAGTTGTTGATCTTATGGAATTTGTGAATAACAAGTGAGCAACAGTTGGGGACCTACAATATGTGAGAAAAAAAAGTATGTTTAACCTGCTGGTCAGCATACTATTTTCCCAGCTTTAACAGTAAAAAATTACTTAATCTAATAAGTAATTATTTACCTAAAAGTCAAAATTTTAAGCTTACAAAACATGTTTTGTAGTTTGGAATTGGGAAGTTTTGAAGTTATAAGGGAGTGAGGCCTCACGAGATAGCTTAGATTTTCTTAAGCACATATTGTGTGCATGTTTAAAAGACAAACCAAAATATAGTAAAACTGAAACAAAACCAAAAATCGCGAAACAATAAGACGCTTGGAAATGCAATATCCAAATATGAAGTTTAATGCAACAAGCCAACTAGGTAGAAATTCAATGCTAGATTTTCGAAGTTTTCGCTTCGTGCATCATAGGGTAAAACGATGGCAGAAAAGGAAGTCAATGACTTACGAGCACCGCTGCCACTGCAGGGGAAGCATGGCTGAGTATTATCTCTTTTGGCCTGAAACGTTTACAATAATACACAAAATGGCCTCAGAAATCCAATCTTTTGTAATAAAAAATTCTCCACATCCCACCAGAACAATCTAAACTTTATTTTCAAAAATAATAATAATAATAATATTATTATTATTATTATTAATAATAATAAAGGGGAAGATGAATAAGTTTGGCTTAGCTTATTGCTAAAAAAGAAGCCAAATTTTGGGCTATTTTGGTGCTTATCTTGAATAAGCTAAGCCAAACACGCTGTAAGAAGAAAGAAATACTCACAGCACTTTCTATTTGGTTTTCATAGAAAACAGGAATTCCAATCCCAACGGCAACACTCACCACCCCAACTGTTATCGCCACAATCTGTCGATTGCATTATCAGTAAAAACATTTGATTGCATTATTGGTAAACACATTTCATCAAATTAGAACACAAGAAACTCAGATACTTAATAGAAAAAGAACTTAAATAAAGGGAACAAGCTGAATTGCATTATCAGTAAATATTTTATCAGATTAGAATACCAAGAAACTCAGAAAATTAACAGGAAACAATAACTTAAATGAGAGCATAAGTTGGATTGCAATATCGGTTAAGTACATTTTATCAAATTAGCACATCAAGAAACTCAGATACTTAATAGAAAAAAGAACTTAAATGAAGGGAACAAGCTGAATTGCATTATCAGTAAATATTTTATCAGATTAGAATACCAAGAAACTCAGAAAATTAACAGGAAACAATAACTTAAATGAGAGCATAAGCTGGATTGCATTATCGGTTAAGTACATTTTATCAAATTAGCACATCAAGAAACTCAGAAGAAAGAACTTAAATGAAGGGAATAAGTTGCATTGCATTATCAGTAAACACATTTAATCAAAACGTAGAACATCGAGAACTCGGGAAATTAACAGAAAAAGAACTCAAATGAAGGGCATAAGATGAAACATTATCAGCAAATACATTTTATCAAATTAGAACATAAAGAAAGCAAGGAAATTAACAGAAAGAAGATGTCATGGATGTTGGAAGAGCCAGACCCAAAAGCTAGCTATTAAGATTGGAGAACACAAGCCTATATAAACTACACAAATGAAGCCCATACTTAATTCAGGTGCCCATACATCTCAATGGAACCATGACAAACCAGTATGCTTCCGACTCGACATCTACTTCGAGCATAGGCAACCTATACACTCTAAGTGGTAACCGAGACCAAAAGACCTGATGCCTACACTGAAATGAATGTCATGGAACTTGAAAGAGCAATACCCCACGAGCTAGCAAATCAAGGTTGGAGAACCCAAAGCCTATATAAACAACACAAAGGAAGCCCAAACTTCCAATGCGGGATTCAGGAATGGAACCACGACAGAAGAACTTAATTAAGGGCATAAGCTGTATAGCATTATCAGTAAATACATTATCAAATTAGAACATCAAGTAACTTAAATTAAAGGGAAGGAGTTATTTACCGTGTTTTGGTCAAGATCAACTGCTCTAACACGTGGATAAGAAGCTGGTGCCCTTTGAGTTTTAAGGGATTCATGTGAAATAGACGAAGTAGTAGAAGAGAGCTTTAAAGGGCAATAGAGGAATTGAGAATGAAGGCGAGAAATCGGAGGAGCAGCCCACATTTCCTCTTCTGTATATTAGTGAATTGTTTTCCTGGAAAGCTTGCAATTTTGCAAGAAAAACTTCTTCGAAGGTACTACTGATATTGTACAGTAGAATCACTAGCTTTTGGTTGATTTTCAGTTCTAGGAATCAATGGTGGAAACGGGATTTTGTGGGGTTACATTTAATCTTCACCAGGGAGATATTGATGTGCTGTTAATAGCTCTTGCAATTTTGGGTCCTCCTATTTTGGATTGAGGTTCAGTTATAGGCTTCGAGGTGTCAAGCTATATTAGCCCCGTTTGACGGCTATTATTAAGAAAAATAATGTTTTGCATAGTAATTTTAAAAAATAAAAAAAATGTGTCGTTAAATATTTATATATATATAAAAAATTAGTTTTACGTGCAAAATATTTTGCCTTTGTTTGGGCTCTATTCTAATGAAATTTTGGAGAAAGATATATTTTTGAATAGTGATTTTGTGAAAAATGAGTGATTACGAAAAAAGAAAGATTTTGAATTTATGTATAATATTATTTTTATTGGAGAATGTACATAGGTTTGAGCATGGTTGAGTGGGGTTGATTTTGAGTCCAACTCGAAATTGGTGCGAATTAAAAAAAAAGAAAATTATATATATATATTAAGCACCGATGATATGACACATCATTTAATTGGTGAACCATTAAATACATGGGCCTACTATTAACTTATTCACTGATCAAATGGCGCGACATGTTATCGTTGCTTAACATAAGCTAGACACCAGCGTGTAGTAGATCATTTTCGTGTATGTGTATATATATATATATATAACAAAATAATTACACCAAAATGAAAAATAATGTTATAATCTAATACTCTAAATCGAAAGGGTTGGTTGCTGAAATCGAAATCAACCCTACCTAACTTTTTAATAGTTAAAATTAATTGAATCAAATCAATTGTTTTTGTTCAAACTAACCTAAATGGACCCAACTCATTTGGTTTGATTGGTTTAGATTTTTTTACCCACCTTGTGTGGTTAAAAGAGGAGAGAGAAAAATGCATTTTAAATAAAATGAAGTCCAAACGTGAATTTTATTGGACAAATGTATAATTAAAAATGAATATATATATATATATATATATAAGGTTTTCAAATAATGATTATCACATGGACACTTGGTCGTTGGTGCAACCACGTGAATAGTCAATAAGCTAAGTAGAAGTATAGAGTGAAATAAGTGTGGTTGCCATTGTGGCCTAACTTTTTTGAAAGGAAATGTGCTAGGTGTATAGCATTTTGTACACATTTTTTGACGGCTTTCTCATATGGAAGATGTGGAGCTCGCAATTAAAATAAGGGAAAATTGTAGCCAAGGTATCAAATCTTTCGTTTATTAGCAGACTTTGTCAAAACCTTTCATTTGTGCCACTGGAGGTACCAAACCTTTCAAAAATTCGCACCCGAAGTCCAAATGGATGGAAACCGTCCATTTGACCGTTAGTTGACCAAGAAAAGTAAATTTTGAAAGTCTCTGGTTGGGCTCAAACCCACCGACAGTCTGGAGCCTAAATTCCTGCAAGTGGCGCAACGGGATAATTCCAGACTTCTCCAGATACCCATCTCCGGTAGGGCTGGACAAAACTCCCGAACCGAACCGACCAAACCGAATCCGAATCGAATCGAATCGAACCCGACGGTTCTTCTCAAATTAAATACCCGAACGGGTATTTGAATCAAGAACTCGACTGTTCTTCTCAAATTAAATACCCGAACGGGTATTTGAATCAAGAACTGACGGGTACAATTCGGTTCTGGTTCTAGGCAAAGACCCGAAGAACCCAATAAAAATCGAATCTCCTTAATTTTTTTAATTTATTTATTTTAAATAAGCAAAATTATTTTATTTTTTCTAAATAAATTTGTTAACTAATTAATTGAATTCAAACCACAAAATATGATTTTTCTATTTCTAAATTTCAGTTCAAAATCAACTTAATCAAACTGACCTCAATTTTATCCAAATATGTTACTCTATTGTAGTGTCGTTTCTATTGGAGAAAATCAAATTCAAGCTCTACAACATCTCTCTTAATTATTTTGAGCTCGCTATCTTTCTCTTCCTGTGATTTTAATAATCAAATTTATAAAGAATTCAGTAAAAAGAGACGTAAAAGACACATAAAATTGAACTACGTTATTTGTAAGAGCTAATATTAAACATATCATTAATTAAATTAATGTAACTTTGTATATATTAAAAACCTTAATTATAATACGGAACCGAACCGAATGGAACCAAACTCGAACGGTTCCATAATTAAATTTGGACCCGACGGTTCCACTTACTAAATACCCGAAAATTTTGAGTCGGTTCGGTTCTCGTTAAAACCGAACCGAACCGGACCATGTCCAGCCCTAATCTCCGATTTCGTCAATTTTCGGTCTCGGACTCTCCTATACCCGACCTGAACCACATTGTAACCATTAGTGAGCTCGGTCTTGACCTGAGTAAAAATGTTGCCCTCCCGGAATTCGCCTACGATTACGGGGATTACAACCTTGGAATCGTCGAAGAATGACATCATGCCTAGCTTCATGCCCATTACACCAATTCCAGCTTCCATTGATGCAGAGATAAGTGGGGTTTTCTTTGGAGTGGTGGCAGAAAGGGAGAGCTTGGAAAGACGCTTATTGGGGAGGCGGAGGTGCTGATGGTTGGTTTAGGGACAAAGATGGTGGGGTAGGTGGGGTGGGAGGTTGAAGAAAACAACCCTTTTTTTAATTTCTTTTCTTAATTTTTTGATTTTTTTTCTTGATTTTTTGATTTTTTTTTGTTCAATTTATTTAATATTGTAATTATCAAGTTACAATTTTACCCATTCTAATTTGGTCAAAATAGGTCAAAATTTTCTTTTCTTGATCAACTAACGGTCAAATGGACGATTTCCATCCATTTGGATTTCGGGTGCGAATTTTTGAAAGGTTTGGTACTTCCAGTGGCACAAATGAAAGGTTTGGGCAAAGTTTGCTAATAAATGAAATGTTTGGTACCTTGGCTACAATTTTCCCTTAAATTAATTATGGGATCCACTTATGTGAGAAGACTAGCAAACTAAGTATCTGCTGTACACTTAGTATTTTCCTTTCAAAAAAAAAAAATGTGGTTAATTTTTTTTTTTTTTTTGGAAAGATTAATACTATGCAACCACATAGTTATATGAAATTGATCGTTGAAGATCGGTTTCCCACCGTTGCAACTCCAAATTGTGGTAGATTTTCGACCTATTTTGGCACCAGTTCGTGCATATTGGTGGTGGCCTATATATAGGTGATGCATCTCAAGCCAAAAACAAGTGAAAAATATTTGTGATCCATATATATATATATATATATATATATTCCAAAATACATTTTTAACCAAAATGGGCTCAAACAAGAGCTATATTTGATATGAACCACGTTTTCAAACGGCCAAGCGAAACAAGGGTTAGGACATCTATGACTGCAGAGATCCGACCCTTATTTAAACCTCTGGATACCAATTCTATGAAGATTGATTTCTAATTTTATTAAATGACTGGAATTCAAATTTGATTATGAGGTTCGAAATTGCATACTTTAAATTGAAAGCTTCTAAAATATCACTCATTCGTCGAAATTATTATCAATTATTTTTTCATTTCAATTGATTTTGATAAAACAACAAATTGTTAGAAACAAATACATGATCTTATTTGATTCTTACAATCGAACTAAATAGGACATATTTTATCTCATTGTAGAGAATTAATTGATTCACTTTAAAGGACAAAAAACAGACAAAACAGTAAGAAACTAGTCAGGTTGAGTCCTTACAAAGTGAGTTATATATAAGGAGCATTATGAATATATTATTTACGAGAATCATATACTAAGTACAATACTATCTTATGATATATACTCATAACATAATTTTATATCAATTCATTGGTAAATAACAAATTTAATTCAAATATTAAGACCCATTTACCATGTGAGTGATGTTTACAATAGGTCAGGGCCGATCCTAGGCTAGGCAACCAAGGCCAAGGTCTAGGGCCTCGAGATTTTGATTTAGGCCTAGGGCCTCAAACTTTGGATGGGCTCCAAAAAATAAAAATGGCTAAATTGATATATGACAGGCACTCTACCAAACAACCAACGATTTCGACTTCCTTCCAAGGTTTCAACCTTGAAGAGGAAAATATAAGCCCTTGTTTGTCAACCATTTTCTCACATTCTATCACATTATTTTTTCTACAGTACTCATTTTCAACCACATATTCTTCATTAAAATAATATTACATATAAATAAAAAAAATTCATTCTTTTTAACCACATATTTCAACATCAATTACTATTCCATACTCCAATTTTTGAAATTAAAGGGCCACAAACAGGGTATTAAGTGTTTTGTTCTCTTTCTTGATCTTTCTCTTTATGTGTTTTTTCCTAAAGAAATTTGTCAAGCACACTACCTTGGCCACCACTATCGCATCGCCTTCCACCCACTTAATGCCTCCCAGATTTTCCTTCACGACCTCCAATTCCGCTATCTCACCCCCCAAATGCCTTGTAAGTTGTTAATTTCATCTCCTCTCCACAAATGCACGATTTTATAGTGTAATGGCAATTGTTAAGAGCCTGTGTACAATTGACTTGGTATTTTTAGCTCGGTTTTGGAATTTGTGCTTCTTCATTTTTTTTCCCTCTCGAGTTCCATTCGTGCTGATGCTCATTAATTGTTTGTTGAAATGTCTTTGAACTTTTAATCCGGAATTTAATTTTCAAGACACGCCTGATTTCTGAATGATTTATTGGAGGATTTGCTGAACTACTCAAATCTTAGGTTTTTATTTGTGAAATTTTCATATTTTTTATGCTTCTTTTTGTGTTTTCTTATTTTAGTTCCGCAGGAATGTGGTGAGGAATTTTCCAGAACAAGAATTACACACACACATGCTTATGTCCACCAATTTGAATATGGATCTTCCAAAAGAAAATGGAGTAAAAAAGGTTGATTAATTATTTCTTCACAAGAATTTTTTTGCTTAATTTTTAATTACTGGAAAAGGTGAAAATTGGAGTGAAAAAGAGCATTTGATGGGGCTAAATTTTTTTGTTCATGGAGAATGAAAATAGATTCGTGGAAGCACCATATGCTGTTTGTGCGTTGAGTAGAGTGAAAGCAGGTTGGGGAGGGGAGTTTTAGGTGTTGGTTTGCACTTTGCAAGGTTGAT